CTGTATTTGCATGACCTTTAGTGACTTTTGACATTATTTTTAACACTCTTGAAGAGATTTCTGCACATTTTTTAGTGAGTCCTGCTGCAGTAATTTATTATTTATGGAGGTTTCGGAGCACGTTTGAGTCCTCACAGTGATTTTATTCTACTTTAATCTGTATTTTAATCCCATTTGTTGACTCTGTAGGAGTTTTAAGTGTAGCTGTAGCTGTCTGAGATAGTAAAATCTCACATTTTTGCCCTTTCAGACATTTTAAGGCACTTTTTCAGCCCTGTGTTGTTCTTCCTGTAACTTGTGGAGCACTGCTGAGGGACTTCATGCTCCTTTAATCTGGATTTCACTGACATGTCTGGTCTCCTGCTGCTGGTACTGGGGCTCTCTGGGGGCTTTAAAGCCTCCTCGTGTTGCCCCTCAGCACTAATTGCCCCTGTGTGCTGGATTTTCTTACTCAAACTGAAAGTCCCGGAGCTGTCAGTCAGCTGGCCCGGACCGGAGCGTGTGTCTGCGGCTTGTCTCACCTCTCCAGCCGTCCCCCCCACGGGCATCTTCTGCCAGGGATCCGCCAGCTGAGCCAGCGGCATCTTTTCCTCCTTCTGCTCCGACTTTTCTCTTCTTCTTCTTCTTCTTCTTTTTTATTCCTCTTTTCTGCCCCGCTCGCCTCGTCCCTCCCTCCGCACACTCTTTCCGTCCGGCCGCTTTCTCTCCTTCTTCTCCTCCTTCTCCTTCTACTTCTTCTTCTTCTTCTTCTTCTTCTTCTTTTCCACTGTTTGAAGCTTCGGTTTGCGTCTCGGCTGGAACCGAACCGACCGACCGACCGAGCGACGGACCGAGCGGAGCCGAGCGGACACGGGCTAATTCCGGATCTGCTGTGGCGCTGAGACCGCCCCTTCCTCCGGGGAGACGAGCATGAGGAGGAGGAGGAGGAGGAGGAGGAGGAGGACGCCCTTTTTCGGAAACTGATTGACTTATCTTCTCTTTCTCCCTCCACCTCTCTCTCTCTCTCTCTCTCTCTCTTCCGCTGCTTCCCAATATGGCGGCCGGTGTCGGCTTACCTGTCCGTCAGAGCGCCGCGTCACGCATGCGTCACGCCAGGAGGAGGCTGCCTTTAGGTAACAGCGGGAGTCAAACCAGCGCCGATATCTGTGCCTAGGCGCTGAATTTATGGATGAATGCGGTTTAATTCATGACTAATTCATCAGCTGGATCCTAATGATCCGTTTGAAGCTGTGATGTACGCAGAAATCTGAGAATGCAAGTGAAACAACCAATTATTTGATCAATGAGACACAAAAACGACTACAAAAGGATGAAAACAAGCACAAAGAGAGACAAGATGATCTGAGAAAGACACAAAACAAGTGTGAAGAGACACAAAATGATGAAAAAAGACAAAAACAAGCGTAATGAGACACAAAACGAGAAGCCAAAGCACCTCAGAAAGACACAAAAAGTATGAAATGACACAAAACAACCACAAAAAGACACAAAACGAGATGAAAATGATAGAAAATAAGCATAAAGAGACACAAATTTACTACAAGAGACCAAGAAAAGAACCTCAAGAAGGCACAAACATGACAAAACAGCAATAAGACACAAAACAACCACAAAAAACAAGTACGATATCACATAAAATGACCAAAAAGGACACAAAACAAGCATAAACAGGCACAAAATTATCACAAAGAGGCACAAAATTACTACACAAACACAAATTAATCTCAAAATAACACAAAACAACCACAGACACAAAATGACTACTGAGGAACTGGAGGTGTTGCGGTATCAGCTAGATACAGTTGGACCCATTTCCACACCCAGCTAAGGTTCTGGAACCACAGTCCTGGACAGGGGTTGGACTCTCTCCTTTTCCAGAGTTGCCCACAATCAGAGGCACCAGACGGGTATGGGGCTCCTCCCAAGCCCCCGGCTGAGCTCTGCTTTGTTGGACTTCTCCCCAGAGGGTCACAGAAGAAAACTCTGACTGTTGTTTGGTTGTTCGAGCTCAGGGTACTCGGCCTTGTTGGAGTCTCTGGGTGGTGTCCTGGAGGGGGTCCCACCTGGGACTCCATAATTCTCCTGGGGGACTTCAACACTCTCGTGGGCAACAATAAACCTGGAGGGGGGTGATTGGGAGGAACGGCCTCCTGATCTGAACCCCCGTGATGTTCTGTTATTGGACTTCAGTGCTGGTCATGGATTGGCCATAACCAACATCATGTTCAAGCATAAGGTGGCTCATCGGTGCACCTGGTACTCCAGTGAAGAGAGGAGCAGAACCTGATCACCTCCTGGTGGTGAGTTGGATCCAGTGGCGGGGAAGGCTCCTGGACAGACCTGGTAAACCCAAATGTGCAGTGAAGGGGAGCTGGAACTTCTGGGGGGGGGGTGCTCCCCCAAGTGAAGGAGTTAAAGTATCTTGTTCATGAGTGACGGGAAAATGGAGCACGAGATGGACCGGTGCCTTGGTGAAGCATCAGCATCAATGCAGGTGTTGTACCAAACTGTCATGGTGGATGAAGAGGGAGCTGAGTTGGAAGGTGGAGGTCTTGATTTACTGGTCCATTTACATTCTAACCCTCACCNGTGTTTAACAATAATATTTTCTTCTGACTTAAAATACTGTAAAAATAAAAGTGTAATTTTGTGGTAACACATTGGAAAATTTTTTCTGTGATTTTACTAAATATTATCTGTAATTAACAAAACTGGGGAAAATCTACAAAATAACAAAAAAAAGTTAGAATTTTTCAATTTGTAATATACACATTTTTTTTTAAATGCAACATCTGTGAAATAATTATAATTTTTGCAGTTTTAATCAAACTTTTTTTTTTCAAGACTTATTGTTATTTACAGTTTTTAAACAGTTAACGTGTAAATTAATTATTTGTTTTCTGGGATTTCACGATAATTATTTATGATTTAACAAAAAGGAAAAATCTGTAAAATAACACGAAATTTTCCCCCAAAAAATAAACCTGTTAAGAAACGCTCATTATTTATCGTGTACTTTGTGTTATTTGCATTTTATATTTTCTGATATCTGCTGGTTGTTAATAGACGTTCATGTGCGTATTTAATCCGACACTGTCTCACTAAAACTGGTTTTATTCTCATATTTTTGTACTTTTTAGTCGACCGGTTGGTTGATCTGCTGCTGAGCTGCTCTCTTATCAATTCAGGATAAAACAACTGGATTAAATCGATTCTAAATGCTGCCAATATTCACTTTTAATGCTGATTTTTCATTGATTGTCGACGGACGTCCTCCTCGGTGGACTGCGGCTCCACTTTGAAGGCGTTTTAAAGCTCACATTTGGAAACATTCCCGCAGACGTCTGCGGCCTTTTGCGACACTTAATGATGCTTTTACATTAAATCTGTGACACTGACTTGATGGCATCATGTGTGAGCTTCTACTGTCCATAAACGATATTCTCGTCAGTAGTTTATGTTCATAACAGCGACTTTCATGTTTCTAACAGACACTTGAGCATGTTTGTGTTCTCTTGTGTGCTTTTTAATCCACTTCTGGGGTCATTATGTCGTCCTTACAAGAGCTTTAATCTAATTCTAACAACCGTATTGTCGCGTTTATGTACTTTATGGCACTTTAACCTTGTTTTTTTAGCACTGAAACAAGCCACATAGTGATATCTGTACCATCTACAGCACTACTTAACATTCTTTAAACAGTATCAGAGCAGGTTTCTGATCCTGGTAGTGGTTTTAATATAAATCTGCTGTCAGAATAAAGTCCAACAGCGGCTCAATCAACTAAACGACCAATCAGCAGCTCATCGGGTTTCATCATTTTACGTCCATTTGCGGCGGTTTTATTCTCGTGCGAAGCCTTTCTCGAGCTCGCGGTCGCCTTTTCTCCTTGCTGAGCCACTTGTTTTAGCACTCACGCGTGGTTTTGGCGTTCCTACAGAGATTTGTTTTGGTGGTTAACTGCATCTGTGTGTGGATTCAATGCTTTTACATCAACAGCACTTCTTCTGTGCACTCGGACAACGACTGACTCCTTCTATTAACAAAACTCCAATTTCAAGGGATTGTTTTACATCGTATGACGACATTCCTAAAGCGACGTCCCGCCGTCCTGATTTACTCTTTAGGTGGATGTTAGCGCATGTTTGTCCTCAGTTATGTTTTCTAATCACATCTGGAGACTGTGCAGGAGCTGGACGATGCCTTTAATCCTATTCTGAAGTCACAGTAACGTAGCTGCTGATGCTTATCGCTATAATCTAATTCTAATCATCGTATTTGTGTGCGTACGACGTCCCTAAAGAGTATCTTTGTCCTCCTATAAACCAACTATATGGAGGATTACTGCATGTTTGTGTCCTCTCATGATACTTCATGTTGACTTTTACTCTAATTTACTGTCCCTGAACCAGCTTTACGGTGAATCTGAGACGAATAAAACGCTCTTATAGGAGCTCAAAGCGACGCTGCTGCTGTTATTAATGATATAATCCTTTATTCACTCATTGCAATGTGTCACTTTTTGCACTTTGTGACATTTTTAACCCACTTTTTAGCACTAAAACACAACTAGAACACTGCTAACGAGATTTCAGCACGTTGCGCTGGCTTGTTTATGTAGGTGGTAGACCTCGTTGTGACCTTGTGCCACTTTAAGCTGTATTTTAATCATATTTGTTGACTCTACAGGAGCTTTACGTGTAGCTGCTGCTGTCAGTAACACTATAATCTAATTCTGCCTTATCACAACGTCACGTTTTTGCTCTTT